AAAATGGAACATCAATTTTTCCCCTTTTTGTTCAGAAATACCATTATAAGCTACTAACTTCTGTTAATGCACAACTCCTAAAAACTTTTATATAATTTTATAAATGCATTCCATTATTATTCTACATTAATCATGCATAAAAGTTAATAACAGGCAACAAAAAATGAAAGACTACATAATAAAACCACACCATTACAAAGTTAATTTAACTATATAAATATAACATTAAACAAATAAACGAGCAATTTACCAAATGATGCAAGCTATAATACCAGGAGTCAGAAAAATGTAGCGAGTAAATATTGTAATGTGCAAGAATTTTACTTCTATGTCCAATAAAAAACAGAAAAAAGAATTTTACTTCTATGATAAGTAAACATTTTCAAGTACACTAAATTCATTTAATGTGATAAGCAAATACTTTCCAAGGCAAGTGGCAAGAGAATTGCATTTGATCTGTGGTAAGCAATTATTTTCAGGCATTCATTCTATACGGTAAATCGTAGGTCTACCTTGAGTTTGAGAAGCACGTGCAGCTTCAAATTCCTTTTGTAGACGCTCAAATATCATCTTATCCGAATCTCTGTCAAAACACAAACGGTTAGAGCATTAATACTCTAAAAATAGAAAAATTATCACAATTTTACACACAACTATTACAATGGACTAAAAAAAGATAAAACTGAGGAATTTTATTGTAACTAATATATTTAGCCCACATGTTTAATTATGGCCACAACTCATACCTGAAAACCATATAAAATAAAAGTCTGCAAAAATACAGGAAAAGAATAGAGCATCTTCATAAGTTTTGTTCTCTTATCAGACCTTCCAGACTAAGTACTGAAAGCATGTTCAATTTCTTTATTTTTTAAATGTTATATTCCATGATATTAACATGAATTAAACAGTACCATTTCCAGAAAAATAACCTGTGCATAACGTTGCTAAGTGAGAACAAAATAGACATACAATGAAACCTTAAAATCTTTATACCTTGATAAACGCTCTGCCAATTCAGCATGCCTCTTGAGAACATTTTCAACTGCAAACAAGCAAATGAAATCTTTGAATCTTCTTAAAAGAAATACAGATTACCGAGAAAAGAAAAGATTATTAGATACATCTTCCTCGGGTAGTCTCCAACCGAGTATCTTCCTCATGCATAAAACTCTGCATTGAACCAACACAGTCATATTAACACAACAAGTTTCAATAATTTCCAATACCAATTTAAACAATAAATTGTAACTGCCATAAGAACATAAATATCTCCCGTGACTTAAACATAAAATCACAGAAACAACGCTAAAATGGAAAAAAGCATGAAAATTTAGAGCATTATTACCATTTCTCCCATACCCAGATTGCGAAAATACAAGTTCGTTCAGTTTTCTGCATAATTTTTCACGAATTCAAATCCAACATTAACATAATTACAGCTAAATTACGAAAAATTTAATCTATGAAAATCGAAATAATT